CCGGTCAGTAATCTCCCGGCAGAGAGGTCAGCTCAGCAAGTGGCTACCTGTTTCAGGGCTTCCTCACGGGCCATCGTCATCGATTCTCCTGAAGGACACCGCACAGCCATGCGGCTTTATGAGGAAGTTTTAAGAAAATGGAAACGTTCGTTGATGCGGAAAAGGCCAGGAATGTTGCCTAGAATATATACTCGCATATATTTCTTTCATGCCAGCAATTCGCCTAGTTTTTCTTTGAGGCTAGCAAAGGTTAGCCTATAAAAATGTAGGGTAACCCTGTCCACCTTATAGCCCAGGTCCCCTCCCCCTTCTGACTTCTTTTTGTCCCCCAAACTCCAAGGACATATCAAAGGAACAAGATCCGAGTCCCTGGAGGATGCCCAAGCTGCCAGTCTGACAGAGTAGCAAGCAGAGAGCCCTGCCTTCTTCGGGGCGGGGCTGGAGAACTGGAAGGACACCCTCACAAGCGGGTAGCCCTAGATGGAGGCATGTTGAGAAACAAGAGTTTTGTATTTTGGTGTTTTTGCCCAATACATTCTTATTGTTTTGTAGCAGTACTTTTGGAATGACTTCATATTTACAAATGGGTGACATTGCCCAAAGATGGACACATCTGGCTCAAGATTCTTCTTCAGCTGGACGCTGTAGTCAATCGCTGGCGCAAGGACCGATGTGCTACTGTTGTGCTCGTCTTACTAGGTTAACTTTGTGAACTGCATGAACAGCAAATTGCCCCATGGAACCATGGCCGTAGTAATGCTACCACGCGTGAGAACTACAGGATTTGGATCAAGGGGCTTTGTATGTAACATTTTAGTAAGGACTTATTAGTCTAAAGGAGGTTGTGTTGTTCATGAATTCTATCTTAAGTAGTCAGAAGTCTTTTGCCCCCTTCCAACCCCAACACAATAAAGCACAAACTAACCAATTGAAAATAATTCTACATTCATTTCAATTTTCTTATTTTAGCTAAAGGTAATTGGCGAAGTTTGAGCAAACCCTAGAAAGTTGTAAACCATAGTCGCGTATATTATTTACCTCCATCTGCTGGTTGCGGCTGCGAGTAAACCATGTAGCTCACAATTAACTAAAAGAGAAAGCATGAGGGATATATGACATGTAAAAAGCAGTGAGCCTTTACATATTGACTAAGCAAACATATTTATATACTGTGCTATTTATTATTTTCCTTTGTGTGTGTGTGTGTGTGTGATGCTTAAACTGCTTCCTGTCTTTTTCTGTTTCTTTCTAGTTTTATTGGTGAGGTGCCCTGTCTGGGGCCCTAAATAGGACCTGCCAGGTCCGACCAGACTTGTTTGCTGTGAGTCAAAATAGTTATCAGAAGAACATCACGATGGGTCGTTTGCCCCCTCTGTTTTCCTTGGAATTGAATTCGGAAATGAAAGTTCTTAGCAGCTTCATTCACTTCTCCATAAAGTTTATGAAGCAGCAACAGCTGGTTGAATCGATAACAGAAAAAGCCAACTTCTAGTGGCCGAGCTATTGTTTCCGAATTGAGGGGGAACTCATTAGCTGCTAATGAAAGCACAGGGAATAAAAACAAACAGTGCAGAAACCCTAGCGAATAATTACCTTACACCTGACACAAAGCTGCTCTATCCTTCTGTTCCAGCCCACAGAAACCCTCAGAAACCCACAGCTCACCTCTCTGAGGAGCATGGATGAAATTCAGTTTGACTCTCAGGAAAGAACAGTAGAGAAATCACCCCTGTGAGTCCCCTTAGCACGCTGCTCGGCGGAGACCCTGCCACTGAAAATACTAAGGAGCGGACTCGGCGCCCAATTCTTAGGACGCTTAGGATAGCAGGTGAACCCTAAATATAGTTGCCCCAGATAGTGTTTGGAAATACAAAGAGAAAGGACTGAGGTAGTGGATGTGATTCATGGAGATATGGTGTGCTGCAGTATATATCTGGATAGAAACATATTGATTCTGCCTGAGTGGCGGTGGAAAAGTCGGTCTCCAGTGGCAATGGTTCTTGCTTGTGAGGAAGCCACCTGAAGCAGGTGGGGCTCTGAAGCCCTGATTGGCAGTGTCTGTCCTCGAGCTTGCGGCCATGTGTGTCTGAGCTCACTGGACTTGGGGGGTGGCCACTCCGAACGGGGATTGCCAGAGCTACCGGGACATGTAGAGAAGACTTGCAGTTACGTGGTAGGGAAAACAGTGTTCTAAACTCAAATCCCAAATGCCGACAGTGGTTGCTGGGTCTTGTAGAAAACCTCGCACCCACGCATCTTCCATAGTTGGCATCATTTTAATTATGCGGGAGTGTCTGTTTTGTTGAGTGTTAGAGACTTGTTTTTGTATGCCCAAGGGAGTTGGACCACTTGCTCTGACACTGAAAACATGTATAACAACCGCTCTCTCGTCAGGAACTCATTACACTTGAGTGTAAACCACACTTTTGAAGGCGTCCTTCCCCGCGGTCGTTGTCAGTACTAACACCGACTCCCTTTGTGCCGCGCTCAGGCGCACACCTTTGGTGGTGCACGCTTGAGGAAGGCCTGGCCTTGTCGCGGAAGGACATGGGGTGATTGTGAAGACCCACCTTGGGGAGCTGTACTCAGGGACTGTAGGACGCATGTGGGGTCAACGTGTCCATCTGGGGTTAGTCTAGCAAGGGCTCAAACCAGGCGGGTATTTAGGGTGAGCCTTTCAAAACAGAGGCCCTGAATTCAGTCTTACACCTGGGATGGGATCCTGAAATAGGAAAAAGGCACGAGTGAGAATAGCGGGCGAAATCCAAAGAAAGTGTGTTGAACGGCTGTTCCAGCTCGGTGGCTTTGCCAGATGTCCTGACTGCCATCGAGTCGAAGCATGTCAAAATATGAATCTGAATCTTACCCCGTAGGACAGGGAGAGACTGTCCCTGTGAGTTTCTGAGACTGTCACTTTTGATAGGAGTGGAAAGCCTCCTCTCTCTCTCTCTCTCTCTGAAGGAGTGGCCGGCAGGTCCAAACTGCTGACCTTGAGATTAGCATCCCAAAGGATAACCAGACTCCACCAGGGTTCTTGACATACACGTTAGGACGAGATGTTGACGCACTGAAGGAACGCTGTACTATCGTTGTTCATACTTTCATGGGTTTAAATGATTACGAAATGAAAAGTCAATTAGAAGAACAGTACAACAAAATGAGACTTTTAAAAAATCATTTTATTGGGGGGCTCTTACAGCTCTTAGAACATTCCATACATCAATTGATAATGAAACTTTCTGGTTTACTTTTTTTCTGTTTTTCAAGTTTGGAATATTGTAGGAAGAATAAGTCTTTTTCTTTTTCCCTTTAGTGGCAGATTTACCAAATTTCTGAAATAAGCAAAGACATGGTTCAGTTATTAAATAATGTTTAGTGTCTCTTATAAGTGTTAACTTTCATTCGGCACCGCAAACTGCTACAATAGCTGTATTTTAATGGATTTTCTTGACTAAAAATTTAAAACCTCTGTTTAACCTAACAGCTCACTCTCGCTCTACCTGTTGGGCAGTCCATTGAGATCCTGCCGGTAATATAATTTCCGTACGTTTACAGTGATGTGAAATTTGAGCATTTTAACCCTCCGTTCGGTCTTTGAGAGCTTTTTTCTGATCGTAGTGAAAATTGCACAGTGAAGCTGTCAGCGCACCCATAAGGGTTCTGTTCTGAGCTAACCACGGGGCGCGCTCTTCTGGCTTCTGCCAGCCACAGTCCTGTGAGCTGTTAAATTTTTTACTTTTCTTTCCCACCGTAAACCACAATTTATTTCTAAAGTCTTGTATCTGCAGGTGTTCAACTCACCCACGGACATATCTACCTATCCTGAACCTTTGCACAGGAGACTAGATAGGATGAGCTAATTTATGACGAGAGAATACAGTCGCCATTCTCGTTTAATTGTAGGACATAAACCTTTAAAGGAGGCAATACAAACTCTATGTAGGCTGTTGCTTTCACTGCTCCCTCGTTGAAATCCAGGGCCCAAATGCTACAATGTTTACTGCGATTACTATTAGTGATTGCCTTTGGAAATTAGTATTTCAGATAATATTAGATTCCGTTGAAAATACCCTTTACGTGTTTGTGGAAGGAACGGAGCAGCTGTGGATGCCCTCTTACAGGCAGCGCTTCTGTTTGGGGGATTTTAAGGGAAGCCATTTGCAATGCAGAGCCTTTTCTTCCGGTTTCTGAGTGAGCTAACATCTTCCGTCTGAAACCTTTTAAAGTAGCCTGATAGCACAGGCCACTCTCACAGAATACGATCCAATGTATGTTGGAAACACCCAAAAGAGATTAGCCGTGTTTTAATTGCATAATTCAGTATTGCATATACATTAACTTGTATCAAAGCCATTTTACAGAACAAATATTACTTTCTTGGGGCTTTTAGAATTCCTCAGAGGTCAGTTGCATAGGCTGTAAACTAGAATTACAAAGAGATAACTTTCTTAAGGTTGCGAAACAAGTGATGATTTAAATAGGAGTAGAAGCCAGCAGAGTCTAGCTTCTCCCTGTTTTCGCCTCTCTTATTTTTCAGGGAAGAAAAGAATGTGGACCCTACTGCATCGTGTTTTATTATAAAAAATTAACTCTTCATATTACTCCTTTGCTAACAGAAAGAGAAAAAGGCATTCAGGATAAAGACTGTAATTAGTGCAAACACCGTGTATGAGAATACTTACTTACCTAGTTACGTTGCTGTTTTAGGTGGAATACCGTAGAGAAGTTTCTGCTTAGTGCCAATGGGTCTCCCCGCTTTAAGATAAGAGTCAAAGCTAACCTTTAGTTAGTTGAATGAAAAATTTTACATCGAGTAAGTTAGTTTGTGAGTGTCTTAAATTTGTTTCTTATATGTTAATGGATGGTGACTCTGTCCACCAGTTAGTGTGTGTGTGTGTGTGTGTGTGTGTGTGTGTATAAGAGAATACCAGGAAGATCTACAAATACTTTCATAAAGCTACCCAAAGAATGACCTTGTTTTCTTTCTCTTTGTCCCCCAGGAGGAGACCAAGCTGATGGTTACCTGGGACAGGACAGCTCTGATGATAATCCCAGTGGAGCTCACGGCCCCTCCCTCATGTCAGATGCACCTTTCCTGCCCGATTATCAGGATGAGGGTGAGTGTCACCGGGCGTCATTTGGCGCCCAGCTGAAGCTGCCTCCTCTAGATTGATCATCACTAATCTGCACAGGAGAGCTATTGGTGTTTTGCGGTGCTGATCCCCCTGGGTGATCCAATGCTTCTGAGGTTCATGCATTTAAGGAAATGCTAATTCCACGATGGAGCGAGAAGACATCATTATTGATCTTTTTAAATAAGAACCGTAGCTCAGAAGCTAAGAGGGCATCTTAAGATTGCGACGTACTCTGCTTTCAGATTTCTTAGCTTTATCGAGTTGCATAGGAATCGGAAGCATCCGGGCAGTGGTTATTAGATGATGACTGTATGGTGGATCATTGGAGACCCGCGTGCTCATCACATTGGAGCAGGATGCTGTTTTCGCTCATGCTGTGCGCACCCTGGATGGGGTTGGGGTTGGTCCAGAAGGGAAAGCAGTCACAGGCACCACAAGGCAAATCTTCGTGGGGCATCAGTTGTACTTGAAGTTTTGAGAAAGGGAGGGGTTAAATGAGTCAACTGTTAAAACACACATGGGTGTGTAACAGGGTAGAATGCAAAATATATATGAATTGTTAACAAAAGCTACACTGTTTTAAGGATTTGGGTCTGGTGGCTGCCAGTGTCAGGCCCTTGTCTGCATCTCTCAAGGGTCTCTTTTGGTGCCTGGCCACTTGAACAGGTTTGATCATCACCGACGCACATGAGTGTCTTGTCAAAATCTCTCTCGTGCCTTTCCCAAGGGGTGGAAAATGGTAGAGAAGTTATTAGATGGAATATTAAATTAGAAGCAGACTGCTCACTTGGGGGTGGGATCAAAATTGGTAACTCATTTCCTAGTTCTCATGATTCATTTGTAAAGTTTCCATTTCTTTTCCCTCCCAATTTCCCTATAACTTTGCTGTTTTGTAAGCATTCAAGTCCCTGTTTCCCTTTTCTTTCCATTAATTTATTCATTAATTGTTATTTCATCCAACTTTTTTAATGATTCACACTTTGCCTCCTTTCCCCAAATTGACAATCTCATTGGCGCTTCCAGTTCAACCATGCAGACACATTATATTTTGCCTGATTATTGTAGACCAGCCCAGGCGAGGGTTTCCAAGTTTGAGATCTGTAACTACAGCATTATGTGGGTCAACTCATGCAACTAAAAACGTTGCATGGATTGAGAGCTTAATAATTACACCGGCAACTGCTTGGTGATTGTTGAAGATTAACAGTGCAAAGCATGGAGAAACCAACCTTTCATTTGTTTTTTTGATTAATCCAATGCTTGGGAGAATTTTAACAATAGTGCCTCGTTAGCCCATAGGTAACTTATTTGGCATTTCCAACTTTCCGAAACGCAGCTGAGAACACAGTACGAAAACCAGAAAGACCTCTAAATGGAGATAGATGTCGCTGCGTCTCCAGCCATCGCTTCCGTGCATTATTCTTGGGAAGGCCGTCCTGGGACTCCGCCTCTTACAGGTGTCCGACCAGGACAGTGCTTTAGCTTCTTGGCCTGCAGTTAAGCATAAAATGAGAAGAGGCGATTCTGTGAAGGACCAACTAACAGATACTATGAGGGTAAGAACGTGGAGACACGTTAAATTTTATCTAGAAAATAAAATGTGTATAAACAAAAACAAAGAAGCAAATAGGCAAACCCACAGCCCTGGAGGCAATCCCAACTCAGAGAGACCCTCGGAATCTGGAATCTTTGTGGAAGCAGGCAGCCTTGTCTTTCTCCCGTGGAGCAGCTGGTGGGTTTGAACTGTTGATGTGTAGTTAGTGGCCCAAGACCACCATGGCCGGGACTCACATAACTGCAGTCGATGGTCATTTGGGTGTTGAAGAGGGAAAGGCCCCAACTCAGTCCCTAAAAGCTCAGTACCCTCATAAATTTCTAGCTGAACATTTGACTTGTGTACACTTAATATTTGTATTCCAAACAATTCACACATATTATCATTTAATCCTGAGTAAAGTCCTAAGAGGTAGGTGCTAGGGGTGGCCTCATTTTGAAGATTTGGACCCTGGGACCCAGAGAAGTTAATTTACCTACATTTATACAGCTGTTAGCTAGTAGGGCTAGAATTTATACCTAAGTTGTAGGATGGCTTCTCTTAATCATTCCAGTATTCTGACCTGAGTTATACTAAAAGATGGATTGATGTTGTAAATATTTTGATTAAGGCTATTTAGGCACACAACGTATTGCCATTAAATATATTGAATTTTAAAAAATCAGTGTTGAAAGAGCCATAGAGCCTTATTCTCTGGAAGAACTTAAAGTGAAAAACTTTGTTTTTATAGTAGTCCCCCTAAGAGAAGTGCAAACTATATTTTTAATATTAAATTCTTAAAAGACTTTTGTTTTTAGTTCTGTACTTAAAAGCTAAAAGTAACATAGTCAGTGGTAGAGGTATCGAGATAGCGTTTCGAAATGAGTTTTTGCTAAGCATTGAATCTAGCACAATGTCTGAGTATCTGACATACAGGAAGCTCAATACGTGTTTTTTTCTTCCACCTGAAAGATAAAGGTACATGCATTTCCTGTGAAATTAAAGAAAGGCTATAAAGATGTTAGAATTTTGAGTAAGTTTCATTTCCTATTTAATTACATTTTACCACTGTAGATAAGGATTACGCTTGATTTGCTGCTTATTCATTATTTTAACAAAATTGTATTTCAGAGAGCCTAAAGCAAGGTACACTGCTAAGTTGGCAGTCACTATGCAGTGACAAAGGAAACATAGTCCCTGCCGTGGGGTTTACTGCTAACGTTGGGGAGATGCATTATGAATAAGCAGAAAATGAACAAAGATCAATTCACCATGTTCATTTGCTGGTGACCAGCAAAGTTGATCCTTTAGGAAGAAAAATATTTTCCAACCTTCCTTGTGATGAAAATTTTTTGGAATTAGCAGAGCAGTGTCCTAAAGTCACAATTACAGCTGGGCCCTCGGTCTGACCCTTCCCCCCAATGACGTTTGGGATGAGAAGTCATAATCACGGTGCGTGGCGTGTTTGGGTCATGCTTTTGTGAAAACTACAAAGAGATGTAGAAGAAGGTAGAAACTTGGCCAGATACACAGAAGAAGGAGAAGAAAGAAAACCACGGTTACAGGCCAACCCAGGCCTAACAGCACGCGTGTGTTGCTGCGTAATCACAATTCTTCCTTGGTTTACTTTGGGAATGCCTGCAGTGTAAGGGCGACAGGCTGGACGCTGGGAGATGTCCACGGGGGCACAACCTTCCCATAGGGACTGAAAGTTTACGAACAAGTAGTGGCGTTCAAACATTTACTCCTAGAGAGTCGTAGTTTCCAGTATATTGAAGGGGAAATTTTAGTAAGAAACACTGAGTGCAATAACTTTACCAAAATCACCTCGTCACAAAGGCCCACGATCCCTTTGCTGTCAATGTTCAATCCATATAAAGAATTGGACGGCGTGCACATCTATCTTTCACTAGCCCGATAGAGAGCACAGAGGGGCGTGGAGGTGCAGGGAGGAAGTGACTGTGCGTAAACAGGGTAGAGTGTGACTCCTTCTGGAAGAAGGAGAAAAATAAAATTGTTTTGTAAATGAAGCCACCGAAAATCCACAAGGAGATATTGTCGTATATTCTTTTTTGTCATAGATTCCTATAGATACAACGATCACATGCAAAGGATGAATGACCGGATCTTGGACGGCGATCCCTTTCTAAAAAGCAAAGGGAAATGGGCTTGTGTTTACCTGGGAATGCTGAGGGGTAGCGAGGGCTTCGTTCTCCAGGAGGAAGGGAGGCAGGAGAGTGTTTGAAAAGGGGAGCCGTGGGGGCAGCTGCGAAGCAGACTAACAGCGAGGAGAAGAGCTTATTGTTGGTAAACAGGTGCCATTTGATTTAGAAGAATTGCAGACTCATTAAAAGAAGGGCTACTAGTGTTTAGTTTCAGCCGGTGTTTCTTCGGAAAAGTACATTAAAAATACTCACAGAGAGGTGCTCGCGTCAGCAGCACATATACTAAAATTGGAACGATACAGAGAAGATTAGCATGGCCCCTGCGCAAGGATGACACGCAAATTCGTGAAGCGTTCCATATTAAAAAAAAAAAAATACAGAGAGAAGATGCTGAAAGTAAAGCAAGTTCATTGTGTGCAGCTTTAGTTTCAGGACTTAACATTTCCCTCCTGCTTTCATTTTAGTCTTGAAATACAAGTCAAATTTAGATGGAAGAGTATAGATAATTATAATAGACTTTTTGTTGATCTCTTTGGACTTTTATAATGGGAACGAAATACTAGAGACGACTGTATTTTAAGGTAATGTTTTTAGTACTATGAAGTAGAAAAGAAAGTTTACTTTCTTGATTTGATTTTACGGCTGGGATTCACGTTTCTCGTCGACTTCATTGTACCCGAGTCAGAAACAACGACTTAAGGAGTTGAAGGGACTCATAAGATCTAGTAGGGCAGCCTTTTCTGGTGTGCTTACAAGACTGGGTGGAATGGTTTTTATGGGTTATTCATTTGCTTCTGATAGCCACGCTGTGGGGAAGATACAATCATCCTCATTTTATAGATAAGGAATTCGAGGTTTGGGGAGAGTGATTTGGCCACCAGTAGCATGTGTAATTCGAGGGGTGGGGGTGGGAGTGGGGTTGGAATTAGAACAGAACCCAAAGCTGCGGCTTCCCCCAGAGCTCTGAGTAGTGGGTGCTTGTCCCTGCAGACGGCCACTTGGTGGGCTGAGCATCTCTCACTCCTACTGCTTTTCCTTTGCACAGAAAGTTGATTTTTAGAATAAAGACATTAGAAACTAAAACTTGTCCTCTAAGTGCTACTTTTTTAAGAAAAACCAAATCTTACAGTGTTTTCCACAAAGACTTGCACAACTGTTTGGATTCCCTTCAATAACGTATCTGCAAGTTCAAAGTACTCTTAGCTGCTTTCCTCTGAACTTCTAAGTGTTTCCTAATTCCCTTCGTGAGCATTCCCTTTAACCGAGGTGTGATTTAGGAGCCG